CATCCTTAGTGCTGCCATGGGGGCAGAAGAGGCGCCCGCCACCTCCGCTGCATTGGCCAGCCATGAGCCAGCTTCTGGCTGAGTGGTGGTCCCCCTGTGGAAGTGCACTGACCACAAGGGGGCAGCTCCTGCCTTGAGTGTCTGCCCCCTGGTGGTCAGTGCGCCTTATAGTGTCCAGTGGTTCCACCATTTGGTTGATTTGCATATTAGGGTTTTATTATATAGGATAGGCACATAGTAGTTATCATATGAATATATATCCTCCTTTCATCCACATGCTAAATTGGAATTAAGTTTGGGTTTTTAAATATTTAATATCTTAAATAATAAATATTTTCAGACGGATAAGTATATAAAATAACACAATTGAGTAGGCAGAATAGTGGGCCCCAAAGTCTTCAATGTCCTAATCCCCAAGACTTACAATTACATAGCAAGTTGAATTAAGGTTACAAACTACCTGACTTTAAACCAGGAAAATTATGCTTTGTTACCCAGGTAGGGCCAATGTAATCACAAGAGTCCATAAAAGTGGAAGAAAAAGACAGAAAAAGAGAATTAAAAAGAAAAAAGCTGTGATGATGAAGAAGGATCTGAGAGATGCTATGTTGCTGGCTTTGAAGATGGAAGAAGGGACATGGGCCAAGGAATGTGAGCAGCCTCCAGGAGCTGGAAAAGGCAAGGAAATGGACTCTCTCCAAGAGCCTCCAGGAGGGACTCATTGCTGCCAGCCCCTCAATTTTAACAGTGAGACCCAGGTCAGACTGAACTACAGAACTGTAAGATAACAAATTTGCGTCATTTTAAGCCACTAACTTTATGGTAATTTGTTATAGCAACAATAGAAAACAAATACAATAATGAAGGCCCATGTACCCATCACCCAACTCTGTCATATCTTTTTTAAAAATATATTTTATTGATTTTTTTACAGAGAGGAAGGGAGAGGGATAGAGAGTTAGAAACATCGATCAGCTGCCCTGCACACTCCCTACTGGGGATGTGCTTGCAACCAAGGTACATGCCCTTGACTGGAATCGAACCCGGGACCCTTGAGTCCACAGGCTGACGCTCTATCCACTGAGCCAAACCGGTTAGGGCCCAACTCTGTCATATCTTAACAATCAATACAACTGACCCCCACGTTTTCACTATTAAAATAACACTGTGGTAAACATTCCTGTAGATTATTAGTCTTTGTGCACATCCTTGATTATGCTCTTAGGATAAATTTCTAGAAGAGAAATTGCTGAGTTAAAAGTTATGGAATATTAACAATAAAATGGTTTACAATATTAACTACCAAATTACCTTCCAGAAAAGTCAAACCAATTTACATTCCAGATGGATTGAAAATGCCCCCTTTTTTACACCCTTGGCAATATTGGATATTATGTTTTTCCCTATCTCAGTCAATCCAGAAAAACTATATGATGTTTTGTCATATTTCACTGTTGTATTAATTAATATTTTCCATATGCTTATTTCTCATTAGCAATTTTCTGTTGAGCTCATCATCTATTTCCTCCTAAGTGTTCTTCTGTATTAAGGATATTAACCAAATATTTTCCCAATTCTTTTCTATTAATTTTATACTATTAATTTTATTTTTGTGTGATTTAAAAATCATACAGAAAATTTTAATTGTGTATAATACACACACACACACTGTATAATGCAGGCATACCTCGTTTTATTGCATCTTGCTTTATTGTGTATCACAGATGTCACATGTTTTACAAACGTGAGGCAAGGCTCTCCACCAGCAAAAGGATTACATCTCTCTTTAATGCGATACTTGCTTTATTACAGTGGTCTGGAACCAAACCCGAAATATCTCCAGGGTATGCTGTATATTTTAAACCTATTGGGTTTTCCTTTTTAAGACAGGCCCTGGCCGCCTTAGAATCAGCTGAACATTTGCCTATATTTTCTTCTAAATTTTTTGTTGCGATATTTTTTTTTATATTTTATGAAATCTTTATTGTTCAGATTATTACATTTGTTCCTCTTGTTTCCCCCCATAGCTCCCCTCCACCCAGTTCCACCCCACCTTCTGCCCTTACCCCTCCACTGTCCTCATCCCTAGGTGCACAATTTTTGTCCAGTCTCTTCTCGCACCCCCCACACCCCTTTCCCCCAAGAATAGTCAGTCCACCCCCTTTCTATGCCCCTGATTCTATTAAATTCACCATTTTATTCTGTTCATCAGGTATTTATTCACTTGATTTTTAGA